TGTCAGGTATCGTTGATGCTGATGCTGCTGTTACTGCTGTTGCTACTAATGATGATGGTTGTTCTTTTTTTCTTTTCCTTTTTTTATTTTTATTTTTTAATTTTTTTTGTATTTTCACTTGAAGATGGCGTCAATATGTTATCATCGTTTTTGCTGACAACCGGGGAGTGAGCGGAGAGGGGGGAGGGGGGAAAGGGGGTGAATAGTCCATTTAATGAATACTAACGAAGAGAGACTGGCAGACTACGAAAATGTGCTGCTGCTAGTTGGTCGGTTGAGTGGTTGGCTGATAAGATAGGTGGATTGGTTGGTTGTTTCAGTTGCTTGGGTTAGTCGTCGGTTATGGGAAAGTATATCCATTTATTTTGTTGATGGCGTTGATGTCATCATCTTCATTGCTACCAACACCACCATAATTGTTATCACAATCATCATTTCAGTAGCTGTCTTTATCGTCATCGTCACTGTAATCAACAACAAGCTTAGTAATCCGAACGTTCAGCTAGCATTACCAGTTAGGTGGTTTTTCGTATAGAGGGGAAAGAATGCCGAGAAGAAAAGAGTAATTAGAAAGAGGAATCTTCAGAAATTTTTTTGCACCAAAGATTTTTTTTTTCAGTCTTCACTGAAAATTTAATTAGTTTTATTACTTTAGGTGAAAATTATACTACGCTCAATTACTTTACATTTCATTTTAAGGTAGAGCAGTAATGTTTTTTTATTGTTTTACACCTGCCTAATTGTTTATACTAGTTTTCCTTTGATGAGTACGGAACGAAAATAGAAATTTTTGAATTAATAAAGTCAATTGTTGTCAAAATATTTTTAAAATTTGAAATGACACTGTTTTTTTTTTTGTTATTTTAAGCAACTACAGTAATAGATTAAAATTGAACAGAAAAACTATGGACAGATTTTAGCAACTTTTGATCATTTTGTTCCTTCTTCTTTCTTTCTTTTACTCTCTTTTTTGTTTTCTTTAATGAGTTAGTCAGCTAGGTAGTTTGTTAATTGAAATATAAATTATACCCGAAATTAATGATATTTTCTTGATAAAAACTTGTACAAATGTACAAGGAACAAAGAAATTTTGTTGTTGTTGTTATTGTTGTTGCTGTTGCTGTTGTTATTTTAACGACTTAAACAGATTTAAGCTCAATTCTCTTGTTTTTCCTTTCTCTAATTTTTTATTGGTTTTCTTCTTTGTCTTTCGTCTTTTTAACTAGACTTAACCAACACTAACTTTCTGCTGGTACAGATGTCCTTATTGTATACCCGGGGACAAGTATCGATAGACCTATAGAAATTAATACAGAGATCAGTTTTATTGAGGGCAAATCTAATATCAGAAATCTTATGCCGAAATGTAAAATAACAAAAAACAAGTGATTCTAGCAATATTATTGCCCGCAACTTCAGAGGGCAGACTCTGTTGAACAGCTCAAACTGTGAAACAGTTCGGGCAATGAGTTGGTCAGTCTGAACATTCCGACGTATCAAATGTGAATTGTTGTTTATCCATATTATCTTGCTGAACACTTGTCTGCTCGTTGAATGATAAACTGTTGGCAATTCTGCAAACTTCACGGGTATTTTTTTGGTACCGTTTTAAAGCTCACAAATTACACTGTATCAGTAATCTAATAAGTATTAAAAAATTGGTTTTCCTATGCCAATTATTTGGCATAATTATACCTAACGGGCATGTAATTTTCGTGTTATTTCTGTACATTTTTGTACAATAATAATTCTATCTTTTTTTTTGTCTAATGGCTTTTGAAATCATTTACCTGTTTTGAAAGCGGTATTTTTATAAGAAATACATAACAGGCCATAACTTGTGGGAAAAAAATCAGTAAATTATGATGATATAACAAAATTTATGTGTATTAAAAGTATAGTACGGTAATTTTATTTTTTTTATCAATCTTGGCAGATATAAAGAAGCACTGAATTAAATTACTGGTTTTTGGAGTTTTTAAAAGAAAAAAATCAGTGAAAAATGTTGAAAGTGTAATTTTTTAATATCTCAATTGTATTATTTTTTTTTAATTAAGAAGGCTTTCAGTAGATTTTTTTTTTTTTGTTTACCTATTTATTGCTGTTTTTGCCAACATTTCTGTCCTGAAATATCACTACTTCAGTTTTACATCTGCAGAAATTTGTTGATAAGTGCAATGGTTATTAAACGTTTAATGATAAAAATTATTGACTTTTAAGATAAAAATTTTTTTAAAATTAATCTAGTTAAACGATTAAATTGTTAATATTTAAGGAAGGAAGAAAAAGCTTTGGAAAAAAAAAAAAAGACTATTGACTGTTGTCGTTTTCAGCAAATTTCAGTTCTTTGTTTATTAGTGCATTTCTTGTTTTTTACAAATTTACTTTAATTCAATAGAGTTTTTTGCATTTCAGTTTTTTTCTTTGCTTTTTACTTTACATCATTTTTTGCACCTGTTTATTAGAAGCAAAAACTAATTGGGAAAATGACTTTTTCTTTTGGAGACTAAATATATAAATACATATATATAAATATATAAATAAATAAAACAGTCTTATCCAGTATCCGCCTTGAGTTAGCATTTTTGCTTATATATATATATATATATATATATATATATATATATATCTGTAGAGCAAGGTGGTTATTAAACAGCTTTTGACAAATATTAAGTGCTCAGTTTCGTTTCTTTTTTTTTTTCTTCTAAAGCTTTCAACTTCTGGTTTTTTCACTTTTTCATTGAATTTTACTGTTTTTCTTTCTTTCACTTATCTATTTTAACTACATTTAGTTACGCAAAATTTTACAACATTTTAATTCTATTTTTTCTGATTATTTTGTATTATTACATTTTTTTTTTTTTGCAGAAAAAATGATTTTATCTTGCAAAATAATTGTTTTTTGAAACTCGACTGAAAATTTAAATGTTTTTTTTTGCTTTTTATAAGTTTGAATAAGTCAAAAGAAATGGTACAGAAGATGCGGAGATAAAAAATGCGGAAAGGGAATAGGGTATGGTGAATGGAAGGAGGTGGGATAGGGGGGTGGGGGGTGAAGGATAGCGGTAGTAGGAAAGCTGTGGTGTCGGTTGAAAAGTTTAATTTGTTTCTAAGCATTTCTGACTTTATTTTTG